TTTAAGCGATGATGCTTTCTAGATGAACACTACTGAATTTTATGCTGGTGCAAACACAGAATGCGATAATGAGGTACATATGATGGCACGAATCTACAGTGCAATGCAGTGTGAACTGTTGTTAATAAAATGTAATTAACAATAAATGGAAACCACTAGACCAGTTCCAGGCCAAAAAGGACAAACAAATAAGAAAATTGACTCGACTTTTCCCGATTTGCATGAAACTTTGAATAGTTTTTTGTTATCGGCAATCATTCCCATTTTTGAAAAATTTGGATCACGTACGTGTTTTTTTTTTAGCGGTGCCGGTGGTGTAGTACCCATCAGGCCTGGGTTCAATCCCAGTCGGTGGCTCCGGGATGTTCTGAGACATAACATCTCTGGAAGCCGTTGGTCCCCGGTTGAGTTGATGGGTCGATAGGTGGGGTTCAGGTGTGGGAGCTGTCTCCTCAGCACGGAAAACAAGATCGACGGAAAACAAATCAAGGAAAAAACATATCTTTACATTTTTTAATTATTACAAAAACTTCACATCTGCCTGAAATGACATCTGATACAATAAACATGGTATTTTTTTTAAATTTTAAGTAAAAATTCCAAAGTAGTATTAAAAGCTTTTCCACAGCTTTGTCTCAGACGTCATCTCGATCAAAAGTGATGTTTTTGAGCTACGATTTATTGGAAATTGACAAAGGCACCATTTTGAAAAAAATAGCATCATCAAGCACAAATGGTTGAAATTTTGTAAAAATGTGAATGATTGCCCATAACACACAATTATGCAAAGTTTTATTCAAATCCTGGAAGGTCGAGTTTTTCCGATTCGTAATTTGGCGTGGAATTGCTCACTATATAATTCCTTATTTATTTGCAGTAGGTCTCTGTTTCACGCTTGCCTTTTAATCACAGAAACCACATATTACCTGGCTCTGTCAATGAGGTTTTAATTTTTGCTTCCATATGACGTTTAAATTGAACGTGAAAATGTAAAAAAAAAGTCATCATTTATACACAAATCATCGGTGGCAAAAACTAACCAGATATTAAATGGGAAGAGGTGTTCCTGTAATAGTGGTGTCTCTATAGTTGTATGGGAGTTACGCCAGAATCAGGGATTGTCGGTTCAAGTTGTAGAGAAATACTGAGGTTTGAAAGCGTTTATTAATGAGTGCTTCAAAGCTGCAAAGAGTATAAATTTTACAATCCTGCCATATGAATACCTGGCCATCTACTTACAAATCAGTATGCTCTGCACGATCTGAACTATTATCCCGACAATTCAGTGTGGGATGCTTTACGGAACAATTAAATTGAGTACACCGTCGATACGTACATATGATCGTATTACTGTATACTAATACAATTCTGTTGATTTCTACGTTCTCCTGCGGCCACTTCAAACGATTTCAATGGTAATATCACAAATGTGCCAACGCACTAGCTACCTTTTTGTATTCTTTGTGTCTCAACAATTTTTTTAATTAATTCAAGAACAATTAAATCACTATTAGATAGTCGAAACCAAGTTCCCTTTTTTTCCGTTTGACGGTTGGCAGTGCAGCCAACTCTACGGCTGCTGCATCGACAGGGATGGAGCATCGTTCATTACTTTCTATTTTGGAAAGATTATTAGCATTAATGTGCATTGGGCTACAAAATGGTGAGTTGACAACCTGAAAGGAGCGGAATATCTAACTCTGATCCTCACAAGCTCCTACTTACGCCTCCCCGAGTCATATGATAACAAAAGACTACCAGCTGAAACATGTACACATCAGGGTGTCGTAGCCTGGGCAATGTTGCCAGTCCGGCAATAGCAAAGTGAAGAGATGCGACGCGAACACTGGCGCGGTAACCATAGTACTGTGATAGAGGAAATGCTTCGCCAAACCCGAGCGTCTGTTCTCCATGTTAGGAGCAGCTGATCACCGTCCAAGTGCCAGCGTGGGACTCTAAACAGAGCTGTGCACGAAGGTCCTCCGACGAGACAGGGGATCGGAACAATCGGCACAGACCTACGTGACGAAATAAGGTCTGCGATTGGAAACTCGGAACATGGAACTGCAAATCGCTCGGCTTCCCGGGCTGTGATAGTTTAATCTATGACGAACTTCAACCACGCAACTTCGAAGTCGTAGCACTGCAGGAACTTTGCTGGACGGGACATAAGGTATGGAAAAGCGTGCATCGAGCGGCTCCTTTCTACCAGAGCTATGGCACCACCAACGAGCTAGGAACCGGCTTTGTAGTGCTGCGTAAGATGCGCTAACGCATGATTGGTTGGCAGCCGATCAACGCGAGCATGTGCAAGTTTAGGATTCAGTGCCGTTTCTCCAACTACAGCATCATCAACGTCCACTGCCCACACGAAGGGAGACCTGACGACCAGAAAGAAGTGTTCAATGTGCAGCTGTAGCAGGTGTACGACGGTTGTTCGCAACGGGACGTCAAAATCGTCATCGGTGACATGAACGCTCAGGTAGGACGGGGGCAATGTATAGACCGGCAATCGGGTCAAACAGCCTGCATGCCGTATCGAATGACAACGGCCAACGATGCGTCTTATGGTCATGACTAAAATACTCCATACCCTAACCTAGTACGAATCGTTCGTGGCAACTTCTATACGATTTGTTTCAGTCATAAATATTCAGCTTCAACTTTTCGAGATGGAAATGTGCTACTTGGGTTGAGTGTGACACGTTAAATTACCACAACACATCCAATTGAATATTATTACGATGCCAATGTAACCCCGATGATTACTGCCACCTTCCGGGATCTGGTTCAAGTGGGCCAAATTTGCGTGACATAATTAATGGATCATCCCTAAGCAATACATATTTTTGTTTGCACTTTAATCTATACATATCCTGAATAAACAATACTGATACAATGAAACATGAAAAAGTTACAGACAATTTTTGCGTGAGTGGTGCCAACTGTATGAAAAACTAAAAGTAAAATTTTATATATATAATATATAAAATATTATATGAAGTTAAATTTTAAGTTTTTCCTTCTATGTTTGCCAAACAAAAAATAGTAAAAGAAAAGAGCACGACCATAGAGAAGAATCACATTAAGAATGCTTGCGATGTTTAAAAATTATATGCAAATAGTGTGGGCACTGTTGGGCACAGTTTTATAACGAGTAGCTCAATTCCTGGTGAAAAGGCCAATCAACTGCAACAGAAGATCAACCAGATGAAAATCAGCTAGTGTATCTATATTAACGGTGTCCAGGACCTACAAACTTTAAGTCTCAAGCCACCGAGCTCATGACTACCCAATTTCCTTCTAACTTGGAAGCAACACACTTCCATCATAATAAGTTGCTGCAACTTGATTGTTACTGAAATAAGTTACATACAAATACATATCCACAGCTACTCAGTGACAAGGGTGCTGCTAGGGAAGAGTTATGTTCGTTTATTTGTGGTTTAATTAAAACAGGAATTATTACAGTTTTTCACTATTGAATATGTGCTGGAAAAAATCCATCTGGACCAAGGGATTTGTATGGACTAGAAAAATCTATCGCCCATTCAATTCTAAAGTTTGGATATTGAATTTGCTAGATTTTCAGCTTCTTTTTGGACATTTCTAATCCACATAATTTGTCATTCATTTCAATAGATCTTCTGAAGATCTTGTAGTTCATAAGCAGTATGAAAGGACCCTGAAAATGAGTTTGCATCACTAATTCCAAAGTTTTATTTGTGTTTTCAGTAAAATCAAGCTGAACATTGCATTAGGTCTTAAGTAACATTGATCTATTCTCTTCATCGACTTTTTCTTTTGTTAATTACTTGGGTATAGAACCGTTTCTTGTCATGTTTGTCGTATTAGAAGATAGATAATAGCTGCTTTCGTCGATCTGTGAGCTGAAAATAGCTGGGTACATGGCCGTGAGGATGCAAAGAGAAAGTCGACGAAGAGAATCTATCGATGTTATTTAGGACCTAATGCAATGTTCAGCTTGAAATATCCGTCAGTCTTTTTGTGAGTTCCGAGCCAATTAGAATAATCTTTTGAGGGAACTTTTTGAAGTCCTGCAGTTTCAAGAGTGCTTTCTATGTTTTCACACAAATGCCTCCAATCTTTCCGCTTGAATCTTCTTATTTCTGTAGTATATTCACACAAAGCCTCTTTATTTTGATAGTATTTCGATGTAAATTTTACGCGCTTTAATAGTGTCCAAGATTTTTTCCGATGTTTTTCAAATCTATTATTCCAGCAGAAAACACGATTTATATGAGATATTGCATAATTAGCCTTAGTTTAAAAGCACAGCCACAAAGCAAGACCAGTTGGAGGTGGCTGGGTTCGATTCCCGCTCCGGTCTAGCATTTTTCGGATAAAAAATTGTCTCGACTCCCTGGGCGAGTGTACTTGCCTTACAATTATACTAATGCAGAAATGGTACAGGCATTAAAAGTTCTCAATTAATAGTTGTGAAAGTGCATCTAGAATACTAATATGAGAGCACACAATAAGCTAAAAATACGAGGAAGAAGAAAAGAAGATTTTGTATTTAGTACCTTTTTCTAGTTTTAAAATGGTATCAATGTTATTTAAGATGGGCTTATGTAGACTCGTCATACTTGAACTATACAATTCTCAATTTTGTTTACGAGGATTTCTATAAGCTACTTTCAGTATATCATTAGCCTGGAATTCAAACAGAATTTGTTTATGATTAGATAAAGAAATTTCGTCCGCAACATGTCAATTTATTATTCGATCGGAAATGGTCCTTATTCCTCGATGTCAAAATCAGGCGGAACCAGAACCGTGACATAGAGCACAGCTTTGATAGAACAAACACAGCAGCTGCAAATTAAATTCCTACAAATTTTATTTTCCAAAACCGATGAGAAAATCAATATATCACATCACATCCCACCCCTATTATTGTCGAAATCAATATCTATCGTCCTAATTAAAATTTTCGAGCTTATCATGCCTTTTTTCGCTCTCAACATTATTTCCAGCATAACCATCAGCAGTAGAAAGAGTTTCCCATCGTCATCTCCGCCTGCATCCGGGAAAACCAAACTATTTCATCAGAGCAAGGCTCCTAGCATAGCAAGCAATTCTGATGCCAAGAACAATAAGTATACCAACGGTAGTTATAGATCCAAGTGCAATAGGAGCAAACTTATAACTAGCAGCATAAATAATGGCGTGGAGACATCCGATGCGAACCGTACCTACAACAAGACGACACAAGACAATAATGTTAGCAGTAAGAACACTAGCAATAATAATAGTAACCAACACCGCAGCAATGACGATATTGCGGAAGATGTCGTCGTCCAGGAGCGCCTTACGGTGGCAAACGTGCTCGGTGAAATATTACCGACCGAGTTAATCATCTTCGGAAGATTAGATAGTAGAAACAATCTGCAAGCTGATCTTCTTAGTGGCTTGCTGCTGTGGAGCAAGGAGCTTGAATCGTCGATATGGCACGAAATGGGTAAGTTAATGTGAAGAACGTAGAAAACTTCTGTTGAAAGTTTATGCAAACACTCTATTTTAACGAAAAAATATGTTTAAGTTTGAATATTGAGCAAATCCACGTCAGCTGACAAATCTTATACTTCAGGCCCTCCAAATTCCATGAAACCTCGCATAACTGTTCGCTAGGGACAATGTTGACTCCCGCTTAATTTAAAAAAAATGGCGTGTTCTATATTTTACAATAAATCATAGCATGAAAACGGCTAATCTAATCGAAATGACGTATGAGACAAAGTTGTAGGTAACTTAATGTGTGGCATAACAGTCCCATTAGAATAGGAAATCTGTTTAAAACTTCAAAAAGTACATTTAATGATTTTTAAACTTATGTTTGTTTATTTGAAAGCTTATCAAAAATGCCAACTTTTCTGACATTAGACACAAGGGACACTTAAAAAAGATCAACATGGTAGAATATTTTGATATTTTTTCAGTCCAGCTAAGTTTAGTGCACCCATCGCTATGTTTTGGCTGTCCTCCACAGGGTTTTTAATCGATATCTGTAGATAACGCAGACGTTATCACCGATTATCGATTAACAACCTTGGTCCTCCAACTAAACAAGTTGATTAGAACTAGCATAGGGTTAACACTAATAACATACACAATCAAAATCAACTCGATTGATTGGAGGACTGCCAAGAAATAGCAATGGGTGAACTGAAACATTCACAACGCATTTCAGGGGATTCCTTTATTTAAACAGCAATATGCGTGATTTCATTTCCTTAATGTCTACCTCTGCTATATAGCAGTTGTAATCGCGATTAGATAACGTGTCAGTCAATAAATTCAGACAAATCTCAGATTCATCACAGTCTGACGAAGTCAAGCAGCCATAACCAGAACAACCATAGGAACTAATTGGATTGTTATCATCTGACATATATCGAACAGAGATTTAAGTAAGAGTAATAAAAGAATATACTTCATACTTTGCTGAATTATGTAGGGTAGGATGGAGCAAAACGCACCGTTTAAGCGAAATCTTCAACTGCTTGCGTATGGGAGCTAAAATTAACTTCTTTTTCTTCTTCGCATTTAAAGCTTATTGCTTATCGCATATAAGCTTATTTCGTGCTCTCAACTTAGTGTTCTAGTGGCACTTCTACAGTTATTAATTGAGAGCTTTCGATGCCTGTACCATTGTTGCATTAGTATAAATGTGTGGCCAGTAGTATCATACTCTATCCCCATGGAAGTCGAAAATTTTTCCAAACCGAAAAATTCCTAGACCAAACCGGGAATCGAACCAACACACTAAGATTTTGTTTTCGTGTTCGGTAAATTTTACCGAAATCAGAACAGCTGAACGTTCGGTGAAACTTTGAACTTCATTTGACAGGCTATTGAACTTGATAAGAATTTCAAAACATGTTCAACCTTGTTTAAATGATCAAATCTTGTCAGTTTAGTGGATATTTAGTTCCAAAGTAGCTGAAAAGCAATTGAATTGAATTGCATAAATTTTACCGAATAGTTCAGCTGTTCAGATTTCGGTAAAAATAACCGAAGTCGGCGATAATTTCTAAGTGTGAAGCCACCTCCAGCATGATCTTGCTTTGTAACTGTGCCTTTACCGGCGGAGCTAAGGGAGGCCCCAAGCTAAAATAAAGGAGGAAGTAATTGACTAGTGATTTTCTACGAAGATCGAGTGATTTCGAACTCCAAAATGATGATTTTTCATAATTTTAAATGCATTTTTTAAATCGATTCCAAAAGCAAAAATAATCTCGTATTCCTACGTCAAACATACGGTCGTGCTTTGAACACAACCCTTATCGTAGAGGCACCATATTCGAAGCGGTTCCTAAATCGACGCACTCAATACTGTTCGACTATTTTCATTCTTTATTTTTTAAATGTTGCTTCTGCAAAATTAGTTCCTGTGCTGTGCCTTAGGGATGATGGTATAACAAAGTTTAAAAAAATATATTGTCAAAATCGAGATGCGATAAAAATTAGACGAGTGCGTCATCATTAGGGACGCGTCAAATATGGTGCTGGCACGGTAACTCATTTTTTTTTCATCCCCGTTGCGCTGGTGCTTGGAAGAAAAGAGTGAAACATTGTACACACAGCAAAAAAATAATTTTGATATCACGTCAAAGTGGATGCACTACAATCATGTCGAAAATATGGTGTAATATTACTTGCTAAAAAGGACAAAATTATCATTAATACAATGCATGAACTGACATTACGCTGCTTTTACTGCATTTGTTTATTTATGTGGTCATAAAAATTACATGAAATTTTCGACATGATTGTAGTGCATCCACTTTGATGTGATATCAAAATTATTTTTTTGCTGTGCACAACACAATTAAACGATGATCTGTAGGAGTTAAACTGTAACACGAAAAAAGCACGAACTCTTGAAGTGTTGTTACTTTTAAGCACTCTCGGATTTCAGTGCATGAATTATATATTGAATTGCAACATATAGCATCTGCTATACAATAACGAGGGAATAAAAAAAACTATCCATTTATACCCAACAAACAATTAACCATTTCATGCGAGCAGTGAAAATGACGTTTACTACCACTCGAACTTTGAAATAAAACATTATTTTGAGATTTTTTCTTATAGAACCACGAGAAAAGTAGCCAACATTTGTATGTTTCATAAAAAAATTGAAATTAGTTGGTCCAGTTTCGCTGGTAGAAAGTCACGCCAAAACTGCTTGACAAAGTGGTCAATTGTCAATTGAAGTAACGGCTTCTTGGTAATTTTATTCAACAGCATGCTGAATAATACCAGTACGATTTTCCATAATGTCCTCTGTTCAGGCATTGTTAACACAAATTTGGAGAATTCATTCAACCACAACATCGAACTGCTTAATGGTGGTTAAAAGGTTCATCCAAATGCTTTTATTCGACTATACATCCCTATTCTACACTACAGAGCATATTCTATCAAAATTTGAATTGTTCAGCGTTTATTGAACGCGTTGCTTCCTTAAACAGCAATGCTGTATATGTATTTTTTTTTAATCTGGTTCGTTTATTTGGAACCAGTGTCGTTTATTTATGAACCAGTGTCGTGGAATAATTAATCTGTGCATTAGTTATACATTATCTATTCAGCGTTGTTGCTTGGGCAACGAATGAAAATGCAGTCCGAATTTTAACGCGTCTTTTTTTATTGGGAACGGTTAAAATTTTCCTGTGAAACATGGAGTTTTAGGTTAGATAACTGTTTGTTTACATACGTTTTTATCTTACGTTTGTGTAGGTTTCGAATTCGCTAACCAGATCGGTTTTATGTATGCAGCGCTTGAATAATACCTGTAGACCATTATTGACCTGAATGAGTAAGTGCGGTGTCGCACGAAGGGCGTACGCAACAAGCGTGCTATTAAAACATGAATTCATAGTGATATAGAAGCTTATAAGCTGACTGTATTCATCTTTATTCAGTAATATTATTCAACCATAAAATGGAATCGGATAATGCAAATGCAAATAGTTGAACTAATATCACTGGCGTGCACAGGGTGGGGTAATTGACCTCTCTTTTATAAATAAGATTTTGGTTTTCAAATTTTCAAAATTAGAATATAAAATAACTTGATTTCTTGATAACTTGATTTGAAGGTAAAATAACTTCATTTCATAATATAAGGGCACTGAAAACCTTTTATTGCGTCAATTCCTTTGAGATGGTGCCTGAAAATTGCACCACAAAGGTACATAAAGGGACAAACTTCAATGACATTTTTTGGTCAAAAAATTGCACCACAGTGGTGCATACTTGGTGTAATTTTTTTTTTTCAAGGTATTGCATGGAGGGTTAAAAGAAGAGGGTAAATTTAAGGTTGAAAAAATTTACCTTCGTGGTGGTAAATCGAAGCAAAAGCTTTTTACTGAATATTTCTGGTGTAAAAATATCATCAAGGTGGTGGTGCATGGAGGGACTAATCAAAATGAATAACTCTGGTGGAAAAAAATGAAACACGCTAAAAATGTTGAGGTGCACATTTGACTAAAAATTTATGGTGGAAAGTTCGCAACACTGTGGTGAATGTAGAAGCAAGGTTTATTCATTTTTCTGGTACGTAATTTGCATCGTTCTGATGAATGCAAGCTTCATTGAAAATTTTTGGTGGAAAATCTGCATCTGGTGCATTAAGAGGCAAAGCCTGAAAATTGCACCACAAAAGTGCATGATGATACAAACTTCACTGAAAATTTTTGGTGCACCGTTCTGGTGAATGGAGGACCATTTTTTTTTTTTCCTTTGGTTTGTTTTTTCCGTCGATTTTGTTTTCCGTGCTGAGTACCAATGCTACCGACGTGCCAGGAAGGCAGCTCCCACACCTAGACCCTACCTATCGACCCATCAACTCATGAACCGGGGACCAACGGCTTTACTTCCCATCCGAAGGAAGGCGTGATCAGAGATGTTATGCCTCAGAACATCCCGGCGGCGCCGACTGGGATTGAACCCAGGCCTGCTGGGGTGAGAGGTAATCACGCTTACCACTACACCACCGGCGCCGTTGAATGGAGGACCATGATTTATTGAAAAATTTGCATCGCTCTGATAAATGAAATGAACAGAAAATTTCTGGTGGAAAACTTGCACTGATATGGAAAATGAAGGTACAAGTTTTATTTAAAATGAAGCTTTATTGAAAATTTCTGGTGGAAAATCTGCACCGTTCTGGTGAACCGATGGGCAAGCTTTTCGGAAAAATTTTGGTCTTAAAATTGCATCCCTCTGCTGAATAGAGAAACAAATGAAGGTACAAGCTTTATTAAAAATTTAGCTATATTGAAAATTGAAGGTACAAGTTTTATTAAAAATTTAGCCATATTGAAAATTTCTGGTGGAAAATCTGCACCGTTCTGCTGAACGGATGGCAAGCTTTTCAGAAAAATTTTGGTCTTAAATTTGCATTCTTCTGCTGAATAGAGATACAAACTTTAATAATAATTTCTGGTG